GGAAAAAAGGAAGGAAGAGAAAGTAGGGGGGCGGGGGGGGGGGGGGGGGTCGAGGAGTCACGATAGCCCTCGCGCGGTTGTTTTCGTTGGGCCTCGCCTAGCCGGATGCAGCAGCGCCGACAGAGCGAATGTGTTTGCCACGAGATTTTGTCTCCCCCAAGCCGCTGCCTTTCGCAAGGCTGTGTCTCGCAGCTGCTACATACGAGCAGGAGTCAGCACCCTTGCTCAGCTATCGTATTTTTGTTCGGGTGAGTAGAGGAGAGAGGGTCGGGTGGGGGCTGGAACCCACACGTGAAGACAAGAAACAGATAGGCGCCCCCGGATATCGAGACTGGGAACTCCCTGCTCAGCGGTGTACCTTTCGTCGCAGCTGTGTGGTCCCCTCCCTCTTGTGTTTTTTCACGCGGCCTTCTGTGTGTGTGTGTGTGTGCGTGTTTTTTTTTTTTCTTTCATTGTACCACGAAAGTTGGTTGACACCGCAGAACGAACGTACCAACGAACGAACGGGCCCGCTTTTGCTGCTGCTATTGTTGCCTCCGCGCTCCTGAAAACGCACGCAATGCGATGCTAACGCTATGCTTAACGCGGCAAGTTCAGGTGGCGAACTTCTCGAACGACCAGGCTTTGGAGCAGGTACGACTGTATTGGGCGAATCACGTCAACCAAGCAGCGGCAGCCGGGCGGTCAGGAGGGAGGCGGGGGCCGGCGGCGGCGGCGGCGGGAGGGGAGGAGCAGGAAGTAGCGGCGGCGGCGGCAGCAGCAGCAGCGACGGCGGCAGCGGCGGCGGCGGCGGTGGCGAAGAGAGATCCTGGCGACGGTGGCGGCAGGATAGGGGACGGCGCTGACAAGGACTTTACTGGCGTAGCGTTGAACAATGCACATCAGCCTCAGAGACGACAGCAGTGCATGGGAGGCGGGAGCCCTACCGCCGCGGTAGTGGCGGAGAAGGCCATTCCTCCACACCCTCCATCGGAGTATGGTCCCCACCTCCGGTCGCGATACCACCAACACCAGCAGAAGGCGAACCCGCCGGGGGTGAGAGAGGGAGCGTTAGGGGCGGCCGCCGCTACTGGGCACCACGGGGGCGGCAGCGGAGGGAGGCATCATCCCGGGGTTCCGAGGAGAGCGGTGTCAGAGGACGCTGGGTGTCGAGGAGGGGTCGGTAGCGGCGGCGGCGGTGGAACGGAGAGAGCGGCGGCGGCGGCGGCTGTGCCAGAAGCGCTTCGTGCTTCCCTGGTTGAAGCTCTGCATCAGATTGCCCAGGTGCGAGGCCGGGAATTGTTGTTGTGGTTGTTCGGAGAGCACCACGATATCATGCATGAGGTTGTGGTGGTGCGACAACACGCGCCCGTCGCTATTTTTCCAAGTCCGTGACGTTTTGGCGGTCGGGCTTTCTACTTGTACTTGAATGGTTTTTGTAAGTGTGGGAGTCGCGCGTCCCCCCTTGGACACTGCTGTTCTTGCGGGGCATTCATTCGTTCATTGTATTCGTCGATGTGTGTTTCGGGCTAGGACCGGCGTTCCCCTCCCCCGCCCCCGCCATCCCCACGGAAGCGAGATCGGCCGGCCAAAATCCCATCCGTCGATATCTCTCTCTCTCAAACGTTTCCCCCGTGTCTGCTGCTGCTCGGTTCCTTCTCGACAACCACAACACCAAAACAGTTGCCTTTCAGCGCGGCGGAGCTCTGGAGCCTCCACCAGCACTACTTCAGCCCTCCCCTGGACCACCACCCATCCCCGTCTTCCCGCTCGTCCCCGACCTCCGCGGCGTCCACGCCGTCCCCGTCCACGTGTCCCTCGAAAGCCGGTCCCGGCAGGACTTGGGCCGCCGCTGCCGCCGCCGCCGCCGCCGCTTGCGGCGGCGGTTTCCCAAACGGGTTGGCAACAGCGAGGGATACAGAAGGTCGTGGCAGCAACCCTGCAGGTGTGCTGGGGCCGCCGGGCGGGGGTAGCCGCGGGTGTAGCGGCGACGAGGACGCCGAGGTCGGGGCGGGCGCGAGGAGGAGCCGGCGGTCGGCTTCGATGGGGCAGGAGCAGGACCTGGAGGTGGACAGCCCGCCGCCTCCGAGCAAGCGCTACCGCAACAACAGCGCCGGCGCCAGCAGCAGCAGCAGCAGCTCCTCCCCCTCAACCAAGACTAGGATCGCGTGCTTTCCCTCCGTCGAGGTATGCATGTATGTATGTGTGTAGATTGGTTCGTCCAAGTAGCCAGCCCTTTTTCAGGGGTGGTTTGGTCTGTGCTCCATTAAACTAGCCGTCCAAGTTTTCACCATGTGACATTTGTTGGGTTATTTTTACGGGAGGGCGGAGAAGAACGGAATCTTATTGCCGTCAAAGCTGTGTTCGCGAGAATGGTACGTTGTTTTTTTCTGTTGGCCACGAGCGTTTTTGGAAGCACTTTGTCTTTTTTTTTTTTGGAGGGGGGGGGGCTGTCTCGCTTGCTGTTAGAGGATTTTGCTATCCTCGGTGCGGAGGAACTGACTGCTGTCCTCGTTTGTGGTTAGCGGGAACGGAGCGTGAGATTTCCTTGGTGGACGGGACTGTTGCGAAGCTTTCAGTGAGAAGGGTGTGTTGTTGCCGCTCAAATCCGAAGACGAGGCCAGCAAGCCATCCATCCGTCCGTCCTTGGCCGCGTTTTTCTCAACCTCCACTCACGCCCGCGTCAGGCTCGTGTCCGTGCTCTCAAGTCCAAGCCCGATGATCGGGGCATCTTGACCGTCCTGCGGCAGCTCAAGCACCTCCAGACGGCCTCGGAGGAGGGAGGAAAAGAGGTCGGCGGCGGCGGCGGTGGTGGCAGCAACAGTGATCCCGCCGCAGGTGACATGATGATGATCAAGGCTGTGTGCGGACACGGGTTGGAAGAGAGGGAATCGGTCGCGGGCATCGGGTTTCGTCCCCGGTCAGTTCTTGACGCGTGTCGTAACAAGCTCCCCACGGATGAGAACGGATTTGGAGTAGAGCCGTTTTAGGGCAACATCAGTCATTGGTGGTTGGTACATCCTAAAGAGGTGGCGGTACAATAGCTAGCAAAGGGTGAGCTTAGGATACCTTGCGAAGGGTTTGAAACGCCTACGAGATTTAGGCATGTCTTATCTCTCTCAGTGGAGGAAAAAAGAAGAAACTGGGGTTGGTTTGTGTCTCTTTACGTTGGGGTCTGAATCTCTGTGGGTTGCTTGTACTTGTACGTATCCCGTTTTCTAACACTAGTACAAATACGCGGGCAGGCAGATGAAACCTGCGTGTCGATCTAGCTCCGCAAGCACGATGCCGCCACGCCGCATTGAGAGGGTGCGTCGTGGCATGAATCGCAGAAGCCCGCCGCGTCTCTCATTTTCTGTGTTCCAATATATCGTTCTCTTTCTCTCTCTCACAGACACCCCACCCCTTCCCCCCCATGTGCCTCTGCCGTTCTTTTTTTGCTGCTCTTTCGCTCGCACCCGCGCCTGGCTTATCGCCGCGAAAGGGGGGGGGGTGGTAGACGACGGGGCGCTCGGCCCAAAGAACGACGTGAAGAACGTTCTCAATAACGTTCTCACGGACGCACAGATCGAGAGGATCCTTCTGGAGGAGCTCTGAAGTGTTAGAGCCCGTGGTGTCTGTACGCACTGCGCTTGGCGCTGCTGCGGTGTTGGATGACGGGCGATCGAAGCTCGCCTTCCTTGCCCTCCATTCTTCCCCTCTCTCCTGCATACATTTTTGACCAGTAGTATAGGTTCTCATGTTGTCTGCTGTTTTTTTTTTGTTGGCTGTGACACTTCGGTTTCATTTCACTCTCAGGGTGGTGTTCCCGTGTGTATTTATTTATTCTCCGTGTCCGTCTCGGTGCGGCAATCTCCGAGCATTTTCTTTATTGGCTTAGCGTCTTGTACGTTAAAGATCGCGCGGAAGATCCTAAAAACAAGCGGCCCTCGCCGCCACCCCTCTCCGCTCCTACGGCACTAAGGCAGAGAGGGGGTGCAGGAGAGGTGGAAGGCGTGTCGTGTCCGTGTTTTTTTTTTCGTCTGGTCTTCTGGCGGATTGGTTGGTTGGTTGGTTGGTTGATTGCACTGCGCGATTCGCGTGAAGCGGCTTGCCTGGGAATCAATCCAGTCGTCGAAGTTACTGGATGGGGGGGGGAGGGGGGGATCCACCCGGTCCACAATGCTGTTCATCGTTCTTACGTTTTATTTCAAATCGTTGGTGCTTTTCTTACGGGTGGGACATTTCGATTTCATGCCTGGGCTTTCGCCCACAATTTTGCCGCTGATATTGTACGGGGGGTGGGGGGAGGAGGGAAGGGTTGCGGAGCGAAAGCTCCCAGTTTTGCGTTGGGTCCTTGGCGGGTTGCGTTTCAGTATTGTTCTTGTCCTGTCCTTGGGGTTTAAGTATGGTTGCCAGCAGAAGCCCTGCACTGATTATAGAATGCACATGGTGCGGGGAAATAATGCGTTGGGGGGGGGGGCGGGGCGTGTGTATTAGTGTTTTTCTTGCGAGTGTTGGCCTTTCGGCCCTCACATATGTAGGGTACATATGCATACGGTTCCGCCGGGCCCCCCGGTTTGGTTCACTTCACTTATTTCTTGTTGGTTGTTCGAGTACGTGTAATTTCTCGTGGAATTTTTGCCCCGCTAGCCTCCGAAGAGTGAGTGTACTTGTAACATATTTCCCTGCTGCTGCTATTCGACATGCCGCCATTATCAGCCACCACGTCGGATCGCTTCTTTTTTTGCCCTCTGTTGCGTCTAGAGTTTCCGCGGTTGGTTGTTGTGTAGGTTCGGTTTCGTCGGACTGGCCTTGGCGCATTTTGGTAGCCATTTCGCCTGGTGCGGTGTTGGTCGGGTGTGATTTGTGTAGGCATCGATCGCTGTCGGTCCTCCTTGCCAACGGAAAGACTAGGACCGAGAGGAGGAGAGAGATGAGATTGGAAGCCCCGAGGGCGGACAACATCAGATCGCCGCCCGTGACTGGCTCACTTCCTCGGCTGCCGAGTGTTGTAGCAGTCATGCGCGGCATGTGCAGTATCTCATCGTGCTCGCGCGTGTCGCAAGACAGGGGCGTGCGTGCGTGCGTGCGTGCGTTGTTCACCAAGGGATCTGGAAAAAAAGTAGCTATTTCGAGCTTGAATTTTGTTGATTGCTTTGGCGAGTATTAAGAGTAGCTTTTTTGCAAAGCACCCCTATTTGGAAGTAGCGTTTCTCGTTGTCAATTGCGTCAGATTTTTGGGCCTCCTGTCTTTCAGTGAACAAAGCACAGCCGGGGTAGTAGTTTTTGACGAGGTCTTGTTTTTTTTTTTTGCGATTCTGCTGGAAAGCCACCTGCTCTGCTTGGAAAAACCTCGGTTTCGCGTGCGTACGAGGCGTTGCTTCTACCGTGTGTCCTGGCCTCGCCACCATCAGCATCAGCATCAGCATCAGCATCTTCTTCGCGGGACACACTTGTATATAGTATAGGATACGTGCTCAGCAAGAGTGCATAGGACAGAGTTGAGGCACTCGCTCGTCTATGGCTGCTGCTATTAATAGTCGTGTCCGCTTCTCCATTCTCTTTATTGTTTTTTCCTCTTTTTGTCCTTGGCGTTTTTGGTTTTTGGTGTGTGTGCGAGGGAATACAATCAATCAACAAAACAAGGCGACGTGTTTTGATGTTGGTTTCGATTTATAGTACTTGTAGTGGCGTGTGTATTTCGAACGGCGTTTTTGTCTTGTGCTTTGGCCCTGTTCTCACGGCATTTCGTACGTGCTTCGACCGAAGTTTGAGACGGAATATGGCAGGCGCCTACCACGCGAAAGCTTCTTCCGCCTGTGTAGGTGCTGCTAATGTTACATGGCAGCGACGTCTGTCTGTAGTGCATGCAGCTGCTCGTAAACTAGTAAGGAGCAGTTATAGTGAGTGAAAAATTTGGCTCCCGTGCATGATGTGTGTGTGTGCGTGTTTTTTTTTTTGTGTTTCTTCTTTTTTTCTTTTCTCTTTTGTGCCTGCCTGTTGGTCTGTTTATTTATCCGCTCGGTTCTATTTACTGGCCACCGCCTGCGCGCGCGATCATCATCGAGAGCTATACCTCGGCAGACGCACGCACAGCAGTACGAGATGCCGTGCAGTAGACCGACAAGGGGGCCGGGAACGCGAAGGCACGACGAGGCTACAAGTAATTTAGCGTAGTAGTGCACGCCTCCCTCGTGCAATCACTACTCCTTGTTTTTTTTTTACAGATGAGCACGACCGGTTTGTTGTTGTTGTTGTCTGAGAAGGATGGAGTCCTTGATGGCGGGGGGGCAGGGGCGCAATTTTTTGTTCCATGGACCAGAAGAAGAGGGAGTGTGGATTTCTGCCAGATACAGCAAAACGGGGGAAGGGCCACGAAGTTGTTGTGTGGTGAAACGGTGAGAGCATGGGGGCAGCAGGGGGAGAAGAAGCTGCTGCTTTTGTCGGCCCGTCAATCTGTCGGCGGACACAGCAGTGCACGTCTAGGGGTGGTCGAAGGCTCGTCACAGGCTGAGATTATTATCGTCTTTTAAACAACCTCTCTCTGCGTGTGTCGCTCTCCTCTTGCACATTGTCCCGTAATTTTTTTTTTTTTTGTGTTGTTGGCTTGATGATGGTTGTTGGTGAAGTAGGGTGAACGGGAGCGACAATGCTGTTCTGGCTTGCTTGTTCAATCGCTTTGCAGGACCCAAGCCCACTGTGCAGCAAAGTCGTACCCCGAAAACTGTTCGGGATCACGGCGTTCGTTGCAGCAAGCAGCTGTAGCTGCAAAAGTACCCGTCGATTTTTGAGTTGATCGTGTACGGGCAACGTGTAAGTAAATAAGGACACTATTTAGTCTCAACAGCTGGGGGTCCGCAGCGGATAGCCTCCTATGTTGATGATGCTGCGTTATAGCTCTGGGTAGCAAAAGTAACTGCTGGACTCTAAAGGGATAGGAACAGCGGGAGATGGGTGGATGGGAGGGAGCTTTTGAGAGAGGGGTGGGGCAGCGAGAAAGGGAATTGGGTATTGTCTGTCGATCGTCTGTGTTTGTGATGGTGATTGAGGAAGATGGATAGTGAATGTTTTCGCGGACAGACGCGGCACCAACAAATTCACGCTTTGATTCATTTTTATTTTGTCCTGAAACGACGGTAGGTATGCAGAGGTATCTACATGCGCACGGTATTGTCGGGCGAGGTCTCCTTTTGGTGTGCGATTCAAGTATGGTCTTTTGAGTACTCTAGTGCTGTGGTGTTTGGAAACAACAGCAGCAAGCAGTTTCGAGACGACACCGGCTTTGTTTCTGTTTGTGTGCGGGTGGGTGTGCTCTGCTGATTTGTCGGGGTTTTTTTTTCTTCCGGTTTGTCAGCTGTAGCCAGTCAGTCAGTCAGTCAGTCGTGGTGTGGGGTGATAGCGCGCGGGGTTGATGCTGCGGGGGAAGATGGAAGATGGAAGAAGATTTAAGGGAAAAAAAATACACACACAGAAACACTACCCATTCGAGATATACCCACAGTCGAACGGGATGTGGTGGAGTCTTTTCAGTGATGAGGGGAGGAAAAACGAAGAAGATTTGGAATAAGCCCCGGAACAAACGGCGGGGGGCGAACGAAAGTGAAGGAGGAGTTTTTGTGTGTTTTTGTGTTTCTTGATCTTTTTTGCATCGACCGCGCCAAGCCAGCTGACCAAGGTGGTGACAGGAGAGAAAGTCAGTCTCTCACGGAGCGGGATACATACGAACACGCGAGCATACACACGTTTTAGTGTAGTGGATTGGACCCCCCCCGGCAGGTGTAAATTTACAGCAGCAGCAGAGCAGCGGCAGTAGGCGCCCGATGGCAAGAAACATGTTGAAAAACATGAAAAAAGAAACTTGTCATTGTCCGATACTGAAACCTCAAATTACTTTCACCAAGAATGAGAAAGGAAGGCGGTGTTGCTGTACCTAGACTATTATACGTACCCCAGCGAGCGGTGGATCCAACGCTAGATCCTAAATTGTAGTCTTGTCTAAGCTTGATTGACGTGGGGCAACGCGACTAGGAAATTGAGCCTGCTGGACCCGAACTTGAGGACGTTTCTTGTCAGCGGGCGCCTATTGTACATACATGTACCCGCATGAAGGGATCGACGATATGTAACTATCTAGACTATGGCCCCATCCACCGCGCACCCTCCACTGCTCGAAAAGAAGGTCGTTCAGAGGAAGTTTCGAGAGCGCCCACCTTTAAAAACCAATCACGACTTTGTTCTACAATAAATAGAGAGGACGGCCCGCTAAAACATGAAAGGGAAGAGAAACCAACCTAGAATTAATGTGTCCACAAAACTGTCAATATCGCTCTGTCCGTGTTATGTTTGCTTCTAGTCGCAACAGAAACGGAATCCCCCAAAATGGGCTTGCTTCAGAAAAAAACAGAAACTGAAACCCAGAAGGGGGCTTCAGAATAAATATGCAAGAACGGTACGCAACAACAGACGGACGGGGTCAACACTAGCCAGAGAAGCGAAGTCCCGAGACCCCCCCGTGCTGTTCTCGTCTCGTGTTCCTGGGTTACATGTTGTCGGTGTTGTTGTTGTTAAAACATACATCCGTAGACAAAAAAAAAACGTCAACCAAGGCTAACAGGGCACGGAACGAACTAGGAATAGAAGCGGAGCTTTTGCACTGCAGCTGCAAGCAGATCTATCTCTCCCGCAGATTATGGCTCCCTGTCAACATCAACAATCAATTGAGGAGGGCGACATTTTAACGGTTAAACTTGTGCGTAAATTCAAGTTTCAAGAAACGTTAAAGCGCCATCGTCATGGCACACGTGACACTGTCGTCGTCGTCGTGTTTCGTCTCTTTTTCTCCCATCCTTTGGTTAAGATTGCCTTTGTATTTTCGGTGTGTGTGCCATTTATTACGCCATTAACATATCGATCCGGGGGTACAAGTAATAGCCAGCCACGTAGCCGTCTAGGTTACTACTAAATAGCTGGGGGCAATGGAATGGAGTTCGATTTTGGTTGGATGAACACGTACGATACGCCAGCCACGTGACCAAGCTCTTAATCCCCCCCCCCCCCCCCCCCCCCCCCCTCCCCCTCTTAAAAAAAAATTTT